TGAACTTCTTTATCATAAGACTCAACTCTTCTTCTTCATTTTCTGAGTCTTCTTCTTCCTTCTTATTTTTACCTTTGAAAATTTCAGTTTTGAAGGCTAAATTCTTCTTTTGATATTGCCCTTCTTCATCGTTTAGCCTACCAAGCTCAAGCTCATGCTCTCTTAGCTTTCCGAATAGCGCTGCCATTGACATTGTGGAAAGATTTTGTGACTCCGAGATGGTCGTCACCTTAGGTTGACATTTCCTATCCAAAGATTTTAAAATTTTAACATTTAATTCATCAACGTCAAATATATTACCTAATCCGGTGAGATGATTCACAATATGAGTGAAACGCTTTTGAACGTCGAAAATCGTTTCGCCTTGTTGCATCCGGAACATCTCGTATTCTTGGATTAAGGAGTTTTTACGTGCTCTCTTGACGTCGTCAGTACCTTCGTGGGTCACTAAGCATTTCCCACATTTCCTGAGCACTTTTACAAACAGAAATCCTGTAAAACTCGTCAAGGGTTAGAGCAGATGAAATTATATTTCTAGCCCTAACGTCAAATTTTTCTTTTCTGTTTTCTTCTACAGTCCATCTAGAAAAAGGTTTAGGAACGTCAACACCGTTCTCAGTAACTTTAGGAATATATGGACCGTTTAAAATAGCATCCCAAACGCCTCTATCAACAGACTCTAAAAAGATTTGCATTCTTACCTTCCAAAACGGATAATTTTGACCCGCAAAAAGTGGGGGTCTGTTGATAGACGCACCTTCGCCAAAACTTTGATTTTTTCCGGCCATTTTCGAAAAGTTTGAATGACTATCAAAGCAAGTTCTGATACCACTTGTTACAATCGCGCAGCGGAATGTTCGCGTGGTCGGACAAAAACCAAGAGGGGGGTGAATTGGTTTCTTAATAAAAATTAGGTTTTCAAAATTTTCCCCAAATTTTACCGATTAAAAACTGTGTAAATGTAAATAGAGAAGAGAAGAGAATCTTACACAGGAGATTTATACTGTTTCGGATCAAAAGACCCTACGTCCAATTGTTAATCACTCAAACAGAGGATTAACGCTGTCACTATAATCAAGTTGTTACAAACAAATTACAATTGAAAAGATAAAGATAAAGATAACACCTCTCTTGAAATCCACAAGAGATGAAGAACAGCTTTCCCCAGAGACGGCACAACACACAATCCACTAAGAACTCCACTTAGTGATTCTTATCGCTTCTAGCCCACACCAGGTTCCAAAAGCCCCTTTTTCTTGCAACAAACAGTTCTCTAGCACTACAGCACTTAACTTTTGTATGAAAAAGGTTGTTCTACTTTTCTGAGTGCCATAGAGAAGTTTAAGTAGAGAAATTAGGGTTTGGGAATTTCGGAATTAGGGTTCTTGGAAATAGGGTTTTCGAAAATAGGGTTGATTTGAAGTTGAAAATCAAAATCTGACTAAAATAATCGATTAAATGAAGTATTAATCGATTATTACAGAGCCAAAATCAACAGAACCCTAAAACTCTCTGTTTTAATCGATTAAAAGGGCTGTTAATCGATTAACAGGCCTGTTAATCGATTAACAAGTGGTTTAATCGATTAAACCAGTGAGCAGATAATGAAAATGGTTTTTCTCACTGTTTTAATCGATTATTTCCCTATTTAATCGATTAAAGCCGAGCCTGGATGATAAATTTGAGCTTTTTGAAGCTTCTAAGGTGCAGACTATGTACCGGCTATCTTAAACTCTAATATTACAGACTCAATCTAATTGAAACAGAGTTATTACAATACAAAACAAGTCTTCAACACTCTAAGTCTTTGTGTTCTTGAATCATCATCAAAATCAACAATCTTCATGTCCATCAAGTGCAACATCAAGTCCTTTGAATGTTCAACACATGAGTCACTCTTATAGAATTTCCTACATTTCTTGAGCACTTTTACGAACAGATATCCTGTAAAACTCATCAAGGGTAAAAGCAGATGAAATAATGTTTCTAACCCTAACATCATATTGAGCTTTTCTGTTTTCTTTTGCAGTTCATCTAGAAAATGGTTTAAGTTCCTCTACTTCATCTACAGTCATTTTTGGAATAAATAGACCATTTACAATAGCATCCCAAACACCCCTGTCAACAAACTCCAAAAATATTTGCATTCTTACTTTCCAAAATGGATAAATTTGTCCAGAAAAAGTGGGGGTCTGTTAATAGAAGCACCTTCAGCAAAGGTTTGGTTTTGTCTGGCCATTTTCGAAAATTTGAAAAACTATCAAAGCAAACTTTGATACCACTTGTTGGTATCGTGCAGCGAAATGTTTGCGTATAAGGACAAAAACCGAGAGGTGGGTGAATTGGTTTCTTATAAAAATTAGGGTTTTAAAAAAAATTCTCAAATTTCACCGATTAAAATTCTTGTAAAGTTAAAAGATAAGGGAAAGAATATTACACAAGTAATTTATTCTGGTTTGGATCAAAAGACCCTACGTCCAGTTGTTAATCACTCTAAAAGTGGATTAACTTTGTCACTATAATCACAGTTTGAAACAGATTATAAATTACAAAAGATAAGGATTAGAAAACACCTCTTGAGTCACACAAGAGACGAACACCTCCTTTGAATCCACAAAGGATGACAACAACTTTTCCTTGAGACGGCACAACACACAATCCACCAAGAAACTCACTCAGTGATTATTATCGCTTCTAACCCACACTAAGTTACCAAAACCCCTTTTTCTTCCCTACACAAAGTTCTCTAGCAATCACAACTCTTAACTTTTGTATGAAAAAGGTTGTATATTTCAGAGAGCTTGAGAGAACTTTAAATAGAGAGATTTAAGGTATGGGGAATAGGATTTTCGAAATAGGGAATAGATGCATCAAAAGTAGGTCCAAAATTCGAATTTCAAAATCATAACAGACGTAGATAATCGATTATCATAAGTGATAATCGATTATCACAGAACAATTTTCGCAGAGAATGAATTTGGACCAAGATAATCGATTATCTTCTGAGATAATTGATTATCATAGAACTTTCAGAAACCAAAATTAAGGGGGATAATCGATTATCAACCCAGATAATCGATTATTTCAGTGATGTTTTCCAAAAATAAGTTTCAAGTAGGATAATTGATTATCCTGGGTGATAATCGATTATCACAGAGTGGTTTTGATAAAAATGAATTTTTAGAGGATGGACTATGTGCTGACTATCTTAGACTCTAATTTTACATACTTAAAAAGACAAAACAGAGTTATTAGAAGTAAATACAAATGATTATAAGTCTTCAAGTCTTTAATTCCTTTGATATTAAAACATTATCAAAATTTTCAGGCATCGTATCCTTATAATAGTCCTGATTTAACTTTATCAATTGGGAGAAAAATAACACACTTTTATAACTTTGTCATGATTAGATCAAATTGAGTGTGCATTATCTCTCTCGTACACAAAACATAGTGTGCATTATTAATGTTGTTATATTAATGCGTGCACCCAGTACAACAAATCCAATGTGCTTGCTTTGGCTTAGGTGCATGTCTTGCGCCAACCTATTTTCACTACAAGAAATTTTGATATTACCGACGGTCAAAATCCGTCGGTAATAACAAAAATCCGTCGGTAATATCCATTTACCGACGGATTTTCGACGGTCAAAAATCCGTCGAAATTTGGTTGTCGGTAAATATTACCAACGGATTTAATAGTCCGTCGGTAATTATCGACTGGATATATCCGTCGCTAAATGTTTGATGAAATTACCAATGGACGAGAATCTAGTCAGTAATATTTTTATTATTTATTAAATATTTTACTTATATAGATTATTTATTTTATAGAATTTTTATTATTTATTATTAATTATTTTTCCCTATTACAATTTTATAGGCTTTAATTATTATTGGCAGGATTCGAACCCAGTACCTTAGAGTTAGAGGTCGATACTCCAACCACTAAGCTACCGAATTTTTCGATAATAATTTACAAATAAATTATATTTATATACAAATATATTTATATACAAATATATTTATATATATTTATATATTTATATATTTATATATTTATATATTTATATATTTATATATTTATATATTTATATATTTATATATTTATATATTTATATATTTATATATTTATATTTTTATATTTTTATATTTTTATATATTTATATATTTATATATTTATATATTTATATTTTTTTATATTTATATATTTATATATATATATATATATTTTTATATATATATATATATATATATATATATATATATATATATATATATATATATATATATATATATATATATATATATATATATATATATATATATATATATATATATATATATATATATATATATATATATATATATATATATATATATATATATATATATATATATATATATATATATATATATATATATATATTTATATATATATATATATATATTTATATACAATTAAATATTTTTATATGTTTTCATATATTTTTATATATTTATATATAATTAAATATTTATTTTTTAAAATTATTTAATTTAAGAAATTATTATAAATTAATCTAATTTTGATTAAATGAAATTATTAAATAAAAAATATTAAAATTTTTTAATTAGTTAAATATTTACTAATTGATAATTTACCGACGAAAATATCCGTTGATAATTTACAGATGAATTTACCGATGGATATATCCGTCGGTAATTAATTATTAATTTATCGATGGATTTACCGACGGATATATCCGTCGGTAAATTCATCTGTTAATTACCGACGGATTTATCGACGGATATATCCGTCGGTAACTAATTATTATTTTACCGATGGATATATCCGTCGGTAAGATCAAATTCCACAAATATTTTATATCCGTCGGTAATTTCCGTCGGTAATAATTATTTTCCGATGGATACAAATCCGTCGGTAAATATCCTTCGGTAATACGCGATTTTCTTGTAGTGTTTGATTGACTAATTGTTGTGCTAATGTCTCCACTAACATGGCTCATGTCCCGTGAATATTAGCGATAAAAAAACGTAAATTCTTTTAAAAAATTGTTTGTACTTCTTTTAAAAGATTTTGACTGTCAATCATTTTCAAAAATAATTCATATTATCAATAAGTTTTATACAATTATTGTTTTTGAATATGTAAGAATTAAAATATATCAAAAAGTTTTCAACTCTCACCTAATCAATCAATTAAGCTAGACTTGAGAATACACATTGTTGTGTTCATAAACAAAACTTGAATTGTTTGGCAGTTATTTTCCTTGTCAGGTCTACTAGCTAAATATTGTTGTAAGAACATTGTTAAAAGTCATTAAAAAAAAGTTGTTGGAAGGTTTAACATTTTTCTTTTTTAAACACCTCATCTTGTGCAATATTATATGCTTCGCAAGAAGGAGTACTACGTATTCTTAAACATATATCTTTTAACAAATTAATCATTATTATTATTTGAAATTTGAAATTTATTGAAAACTATAAAATTAGCAAACTCGTAAATAAAGAAATGAGATCAACTAAATTTGTATTTTTTTTTTCAATAAATTTTATTTAACAACTGAGATTAGTTTAGAGAATTTTTTAAGAATTTGAATTTTGAAGAGGCATAGGAATAGATTCTGTGGACGGAGTGGAAAGAAATTGTGACCAAGGCCATATCATACACAAAATTTACTGGATGATTTTCTGCCATGAGTCATTTCACTATGGATAAAGATATTATGGAAAGAATACAACAATGAGACTTGACTTTTAAGTGAGGTGCAATAGCTATGCATAAATGTCAATATGAAAATTTATAAAAGCCTACCATGACTACAACAAGTGACTAGATACAGCTTCACTTGGAGCATAGTGAGACACATTGCAATTGTGTAGAAATTATTGTATGTGGTGTGTAATTATACTTTTGAATTTATAAAAAAAAAAGTGTGACATAATGATTGGTTAAATTACATGAACTTGGATCATGTAATAATATCTTGCAGTTATGGTATGAGAGGGAGGTTTGTCTGCTGTTAGCTGCACTATTGAGTCATGATGATGGAAGTTAATGTTTAGTGGCATGTGCATGCCAGCTTTTCAGCTGTCAAAGAAGCATGTAGTTTGTTATCTGAGCTTTCTGCAGTCTCTTTTAGGTGGAACTTGCTTGGTGGCTTAGGTAAGTGATCTGGAATCTGATTCTGTGGAGTCTCTGCCCGTAATTAATCAATCATGGAATGAACCAACATTGGAGTCTGCTTTGGGAATTGGGATGACCCTACGAACTCTTTTTAAGGCTGTCTCTAACTGTTCTTTTTATTTCATCTGTACCAAAATAAAAATGATGACTCAGATGACAGTAACAAGCATTTGATTTCATCAAGCGTGTGGGCTCAAGAAACATGTTCTGATGATGCTAATATTTACACTATTATTCAACAACTGTTCTGCTCAGAATGTGATACTAGGGATCAGTTTCATGATTTTTAATTAAAATATCATTTTTCACGTATTTGATTCAAGTCTGCAATCTGCTTCTTTCAATGCAGCAGATAAAGGACAAAATTTTGAATCAGTTAATTCTGTTATTATGAATGCTTTATTTTATATACTTTTATGCAAACATAATATTGGTCATGTTTCTAACCATATTACACACATAGGCTGATACACTAAGTAAATTTTGAGATGTAGTGCAAAGTTTCAAGTATGAATGGTGTTTTGGCTGCTCAATACGAATGGCATTTCAATTTTAGAGCCATATTCATGGCTTATCTAGGGTTTATTATCAAGAGTTTGTTCGTACCTAGTTTACAATCAGCTTTACTAATTTATAAAGTCATTAAGGTATTATTTACCTTCTTGTTTTTTGTTTCCAACACAGGTGAAACATGCCAGAACAATTCTACTGTTCTTTTCGCCTTTTGTGCAATTAAACGGACAAGTGATACTCCCCTATCCATACTCTACTGTCTACATGTTCCTGTCACCTATAACTGCAGTTTCTCTGCAAAGGATGATGTCAAGACTCCAAAATGTCACTGGATTGAATCATACAGGCTGAGCTAATAGATGAACAGTACTAGTTATATCAAAACTGTTACATATTCTGTGGCAGCCTTGTGAATTTGGTACATTTTTATGGGTTGTAATCTATAAATACTTGACTATTGAACACGTGGATCAATTGTTACATTATTATTTCACTTTAATCAGTAGGATTTATTTCAGTTTAACGAATAACCTCTCGTGTCCTCCCAATACACAACTACCTAACATACTCAACTTTATCTTCCACATTTTGTCCAACTCAACTTGAAAAAAAATTGTTTCTAGTGGAGGATATTTACAATCTTGATAAAAATACTACCTTTTATTTAAGTTGCAGCTAGCTATTTCTTTTCTGTGTGACTATGTTTTTAATGTCTTAGCTTTTACTATTCTTTTCACCTTTTGTTTCACCATTTCTTGTACTGATACTAGAGTGCAACAACTGTACAAGAAGACTCTCAATCAGATTCAGACGTAAATGATTGGATGAGTAACAGTGATCCATCCAATCATTCGGCTAATAATTTATTTACTATATCAGCATTACCTAAAGATGAATTAGATTAAAATAACTAGGTGAGATTAAGCTTTATGCTGGAAACAACTCATGATTGTGATCCCAACAAAGCCTGCCCATTGGTATTTGTGTCTTAAGGTGTGTGCTTTTTCCATGTGATTTTTGCGAAGTAACAACAAAAAGTTATGGGGAATCTTGTGATAGTCTTCTCATTACATCAACTTAAGAAGCACTTTGAATAAATCAAATCCACTTGCCTTTCTTCTCAAATATTTCTCTTTCTGATTCTGTAGTTTTAGTTTTCTGGAATGACGAAGGGTACCTTCCCCACCTGGTAAAAATAGTTTGGCCTGGCAAATAAATTATATGATTCTGGAGAAGAATGAAGAGATTGGTCCCCAACAGAACACAAGCAAGAAAAAACTTATTATGCTGCTCAGGTACCAAAGACAACATGCAAACTGCACTGGAGTTTATCAACAAACCAACATATTCATGTGAACAAAATAAGCTATAGATAAAATGTAAGAATTTGACATGATGAGTAATAACCATCTGAAAGCATACACAATAACCAATTAGTCCTACATACCCATTTTGTGCGATACTTCTTTGGTCTTCAATTGCCTTATAACTTGTTCAAAAGCAGAACATCACAAGGAGACTGATCAAAGAAGATAAGGTTGTGTACTATCAGAGGAAGAAAACAGTGTCTGCTTGGCTGCTGAGGGGAATGAAGCCTGGTCCGAAATCACTCAAAAGAATTATGTTTAAGACTACTTGCATGAATGATCTCGAACCAGACGACATTCCCCTCAACTTTTTATGTATATATGGCAGACAGGGGAGGTTGGGGAGGTAGGGAAGAGAAAAAAAAAAAATAGAACATGAGAGAGAGACAGATGACTAAAGTTTTTGATATGGCCATGCATTATTTTTTCATGGGGTCCTTATTATATACGTAAGTTTCAGAGCAGATTCTTTTTATTCTTCTCTCATTTGGCCGTTGAGGAGATTCTTTCTTCGCTCACATTATTTGAAGTCCACTTTCTACACTACTCCTAACTTGCTTTTCACACGTATTTGTTCAATAGTAGGAGCTGTTTCCGTCAAGAATCATTAATTCATATAAAATATATGGTTTTTTGTTTGACAAGTTAACATTTCGTCTGCATATTGTTTCATTGTAATTTATATGCCATTTGTCCTTGCACTGGGATTAATCAATCTACATTGGAATTTGCATTATCAAATAACACCTAATTAAAATTGGGTCTGATGTTATTAGAAGGCTAAAAACTTGACCAGCAAACTATAGTTAAAGCAAAAGACACTTTTTTTCACCTACTTAGCTAGCTACCTGAGACTAACAAAAGTAGTACTGAAATTGGAAGCACATTATACCCTTATTGGTGTTATAATCAAAGTTCTGATTTTCTGATCGGTTTTGATTCTTTGAAGGTTTTGACCTTGAGTTTATACTCCGCTCTCAAGTAAAGGATTTCCCTTTTGCTTGCCACTAGGGTAAAGAGAAGATAGTGATGGACTTCGATGGGGATCCATCATACTACAGTAATATGCCAAACTTGACTAGCAAGTTTAAGAAGAAAAGTCGTTTAAAGGTATAAGCATACATAGACAAAGACATGAGAGAGAGTAGATTTTGTAACAAAGAAAAAGAGGAACATAAAAGTCGCAAAGATTTGTGTTAATGTTTCCTTTTGTTCAACTACTTTGTGACATTGCATCAGACCGCAAGTGTTGTGCTTTCTTAGGATGCAACAGTGTACCAAAATGAGCAATAGATATGAGCATATTATAAATGCAACATTGTGTGTGTTTATATATTATTACACAATTATCATTATATGTTAATATGCATAAACAAACAAAAATGGAGTTCCTGCGGTCCAATAAAGTAGACATAAACATATCGTACTAGTTTTTCAAACAAATGGCCTCAATTTTTTTACAGTCACCTGAGATCAGTCCAAATCTGACATACTCACAAATTTTCCTTCAGGATCTGTTCTTCAAATGTTGAACAAAAGTTCTCAACAAGTGATCGTTCCTTTTGTATATAGAAGCCAATGTTCAAACTTCAAAACTCAACAATCACCATTTTATGTCTCCATATGCGATTTCTTTATCAGTTAGAACTTAAAAACAACCAATAATGTGATTTAAAATTGAGATAAATCCAAAGTTGCATATTTAAAATATTTTTATTTATACTTTTAGGTAGACGCACCTTGGACACATCACACATTCATACAAATGAGAAATTGTATCAGATAATGAGAGATTGGAACACATGTGTGATCCAGCTAAGAAAAAGTTAGTACAGCTTATTCCTGTGGACAAGAGTCTTCTCGATGCTTTTTACCCCATCAAGTTCATTATAGACGCTTCTCTGATACAACCAAAACATGTCTGGCCCAGAAATCTCCATAATGTGAAGGGAAACACATACATGATTCCATGAATAAAGTTTAAACACAATATTTTAATTAAGACAAGACTTAATTCAATATCCTATTTGTTTTTGTGTTATTCTCTATTAAAGTAAAAGTATTAGTTGATAATTTACACAATAAAGATCAATATTAAAAGTCAATAAAAGATATCAAAATGGACATTTAATTTTCAAATAAAGAAAAATAAAGATACAAGAGAGAAGTGTGGATGTTATTCTCTCATTGAATATTTCTTCCATGTCTTGATTACATACTCATCAACTGTCATGGTTAGCAAGAGAAGTATAGATATATATTGAAATTATTATGCAAGAGATATAGAGAATGTAAACAAGATGTATGTATTCTTTAGATGTCCATGTAATTAATTACTCTTAAAAAACACTTGAAGGTTGTCCAATCTTTAATCAAAATGAGCTTTGGGGGACCTGCAAGTGTCCAAAAATGTTAGCAGAATAAAGTTTCATTGATATAACTTCCAAGAGCTATAGATAAATCTAACACCGAACAAGCCCAACAGAAAAAGGTGGATGAAATCATTACTTATGTGCAAATTTATAAAGAAATCATTCCATAAATGACCTGCAAGTCAAAATGCCTCTTCATATGGCACTCCGTATCCACATTTCCAAGTTTCTTCAACCAGAAAAGGTCTCGGATTTTAAAATTCTGCCAGAGGGGACAATAATTGAGACACTCCTCTAACAGAAATTTAACTAGTTGAAAAATCCTTTAGGGGTATATTTTTCCTCTGTTGTGTGGCGGCTTACGTTATTACGTTGACCTTCTTACCTACAGAAATATGTATATCAGCAATCACTTCAAGATGTTAAATCTTTCATTTTCCTTTGCTTTAATTTTGTGTTGGTTTAATCTAAAAACTTTTCCCGTAAAAAGTAAACACATGATTATAGGGCTGTTGTTCTAAGCTTCGGTGATTATATCATATGGTTATTAATGTTGTCGTCAATTTTCTCCAAGGTCAACAATGTTTAGCGCCATCATTGCAATTGCCAATTCAGTTTCTTCAATGGCACTGTCAGATCAGAATCTTGAGCTCATTCTTTTCAAGGTGAATAGCCTCTCGTCTGTTCACTTCATTTGCTTTCCTTTCTTGTCAAAACCTGTCTTATACTAACCACTAGAGTTTTTCAAACCGGATTCATCCTAGGTTAACGCCGATCTGGTCTAATTAAAAATAAATAATAATTAATTCAATAAATAAATAAATATTTTAAAAGTAAAAATATATTTATAAATTTAAGTTATATTAATAAAATTAGTTTTTGTTTTTATATAATTATTTAAAATATAAATTATAATAAAAGAGATTCATTTATTTTAAAATAAAAGTTAAAAATCTATCCTATATTATTCTTATTATTTATTTTCTTAATAATTTTAGAGCATTTTAAATATTATCATTGTTATATTTTTAATAAAATAATGTATTTTCATTTTAGATTGGACGTAATATGTCACTACACTTCTAAGCAAACTAAACTAGATTTTAATAAGTTTGGCTCTATTGATAGTTTTTGTAAGCACTTTGAATATTTTTATTTACATTTTACCTTTTATAAATTAAAAATAATTTGATTATTATAACTAAATATTATTTTAATATAATATTTAACATAAAAAAAAGTAATTGGAAAATTCACACATTTATTTCGATACCATAAAAATATTGTCTGTTATAAAAACAAAGAAATTACATAATTAAAAGAAATAACAAAAATTAGAAATAAAAAACTATAAATTATTTATAACAATATATATACAGTAATTTTCTTTTTTATTTTCATTTTTAAAACGTTACCAACTATGTTTTACCAAGAAAGATCCTAATCACAATAAAAAATTACATTTACAAATAAATATTAGTTTTTATATGCACTGATTTTTAATATTTTATAATAGAAATTAAAAAAAATGAAAGTTTAATAATTTTTAAATTTTTGGATACAATGAATATTAAAAAAAATCATTTTCAAAATTTCAAACATAAAGTGATAATAATAATTAAAAAATTAGTTTATTTGTTGATCATTAAAAAAATTGAAAAATAAAATCTGCAAAATAAAAATTAAGAGATAGTTTTTTACTATTGAGAATCTTTAGACAAAATATTATCTGAGATTATTTATTTATGTCTTTATTTCTCAATTTTTTTGTTAATAAAATTTAAGAATTTCTCCAATAACATAAATCAACTCCAATGTAGTTGTTTATAAACATGTACTTTTCGTTAAGAAAAAAAAATTAAGCACTAGTGATGTTCTAATAATCTAAAATAATAATTAATTTTAATTATCAAATTTTAGAATAATATAATATTGTAATAAATATTTTTGTTTAAAAAAATCTTAAATATAATTTTAATTTCTGTTAAATGAATTTGTTTTAAATTTGTCTCTTATAAATAATTTATTTATTAATTGTTCCTTAAAAATTTAATATTAATTGTTTTAATCTTTATAATTGAAGTTTTATTTTTATTAAATAATTGTAATTTTTTTATTTTTTCTTTTGAGCATTTTTTTCATGGAGCTTAAAAGAATTTGAAAAGATGGAAGATGTATATCGTTTCAACAAAGTCTTATGTGGTAATTTTAATTTTGCATCATCCTACGAGGTTGATTTAACTCAAGATATTATGAGGTTGTTTCAACTCGGGATCCTATGGTGATTTCAAATTGTATCTTATGAGTGACTTCAAATCGAGACCCTATGTGGTTATTTTTATTTATACCCTATGAGGTGGCTTCAAATAAGGATCCTATGAAATCATTTTAATTTGCACCCTACGAGGTGACTTTGACACTACAAGAAAAACACTAAATAGTGACTGAAAATTCGGTCACTAAATGATCAAAATCGGTTACTAACTAAAATAGTGACCGAAATAGTGACCAACTGGAATCGGTCACTATTTCCTTTGTCACTATTTTAGTGACCGAATCAGTAAACGATTCAATGACTAGATCAGTGACCGAATCAGTGACTGATTCAGTGACCGAATCAGTGACTGATTCAGTGACCGAATCAGTGATCGAATTAGTGACCGAATCAGTGATCGATTTTATGACTGAATCAGTGACCGATTTTGTGAATAATTGAATCAATCACTATATCGGTCACTAATCTTATTTTATTTTATTTTAAATAATGATAAATCTGTTTAAAGAATATTAAATACATTATATGTTGTATTAAATATGTCAAAATTACACTACCTGAGATAATCATCAAAATAATACCACAAATTTTGTTCTAAATAAATTCATCATTGATAGATTAAATATTTTTTTACATATTAAAAATTCAATCTAAAAATAAGTAGAATAAACTAAAATAAAAGTCAATTCTGGAGATGTCAGAAACTAACAAAACAAATACAATATATATAATAGAAGTATCAGTTCACAATTTAGGAGGTTGAACATCCATCTTCTCCATCAAGAGGAGCAATATTTTATCATTTTTCGGAATTTGTCTCTCATTAGTTAACCTTCTTTCACGAAGATCATCCCTTTCAGTCTCAACTTCCTGTAACTTGTGTTTTAATTGTTCAATCTCCTCTCTCATAAGCTGGATAGATGATGAAAAGCCAAAAAACCTATATTTTCACTGTAGGAAAACCAACAAAAACTCATCACCAACAAGAAAGTTATATTTCCTAATAAGGTAAAAGTACATAAAAAGCAGAATTTCAATCTTATACGGACATAGAGGATCCATTGACTGTTCCAAACAATCCTGATAACAAAATGTCAACTCCCTGACCGCATAAATGAGATACATGAGGAATTATAATTCAGTGTTCTACTTAATTGCTTGGTGAAAAAATCATTATAATCACTAATGATCTTTTACCCTATTATTTATAAGTGTGCAATTTTTTCCACAAAAACTTAAATGTTCAAGTAAAAGTCATTTTGTACCTAGTAGATTCCTGCCAATTAAAAAATACAATGTCTCAAGGATCCAGTTGAATCTGACTTGAGAAATATCAATATGAAGGATCTAGTTGAATCTGACTTGAGAAATATCACTATGCTTATGCTATAAGATCTGAAATAGTCATAAATATTTAAAAAGAATTAAGTAAGAATGATATGCAATATATGTAGTTCAGTGTATCATCTAAAAGACATCTCCTCACCTAGTCAAAATAATAAACTGAAATCGAAATAGCAAAAATATATCTGAAAATGGAGAAACGTATTAAATATTGAATATAATTTAGCCTCATTTTATAATGAACATGCAAAATATAATTTTACCAAGCTTTAAATCAGTAAAGTTTTTAATTGGGACCTATCACTATCAGTCGCCAATAATTTAAAGTTGAGTCCATTTTACCAAAGTGGATTAGAAGGTGGCCAAAAAATCCATCCCTGACACACTAAAATTCCATGAAATCACACAACTAACCAAGGAGCAGCATCTATAAGTCCAACACGATCAGTGCGGCATTTATAACAAAAATGTTATCCATAGAGCATTGTAAATTTGTAGCTGAAGACTTACCCCAGGGAACCCTAACTCATACAGTCCAAAACCAACAAGAGATACCAGAGGAACTGATGAAAGTGGACTTAAGAACCTGAAAAAATAAGAAGTATGGCCTCAGCTGCATCAGAATGACCCCAAATTTTTCGTCAAAATAAAGAAGAAAAACAAAAGTAAAGTAAACCTCAACTAAAGGGGAGTCAGGAAGATTCTTAAAGTCTTTTTTAAAGCTATTAATGGGAGAAGGGGTAGTAGGTGAACCAGAAGAAGAAGTATTCGAAGACGTTGAGCTGGATTTGGGAGGGAGAAGGGGAGGGCTTGAAAAGGGAGGGGCAGAGATCGGAGAGGGGGCGAGAATCGACAACGTTATTTTTGTTGAGGAGGAGGGAGCGGGTCCAATGTGTTGAACATACAATGATATGATGCTTGAAGATTTTGATGATGATTCAAGAACAAATGACTTAAAGACTTGAAGACTGATAATCATTTGTATTTACTTGTAATAACTCTGTTTTGTCTTTTTGAGTCTGAACAATTAGAGTCCAATATAGCCAGCATATAATTCATCCTCTGAAAAGTTCATTTTTATCAAAACAACTTTATAATAATTGATTATCACTTAGGATAATCGATTATCATGGTTTGAAACATATTATATGAAAACCTTACTGGAATAATCGATTATCTGGGTTGATAATCGATTATCCTAGTTTGAAAGCTCTGGAATAATCGATTATCTGGGTTGATAATCGATTATCTGGGTTGATAATCGATTATCCCAGTTTGAAAGCTCTGGAATAATCGATTATCAAGCCAGATAATCAATTATCTTGGTCCAATTTTACTCATCTGCAAAAATGGTTGTGTAATAATCGATTATCACTTAAGATAATCGATTATCTACGTCTGTTATGAGTTTTGAATTTCAAATTTGGACCAATTTACGAAATCTCTTTTTCCAATACTTCAAGTTTTGAAAATCATTATTTCTCATACCTTATTCTCTCTACTTAAGGTTTTCTAAGGCTCTCTGCAAAAGAACAATTCTTTTTCATACAAAAGTTAAGAGTTGTGATTGCTAGAGGACTTTGTGTAGGGAAGAAAAAGGGGCTTTTGAAAACCTAGTGTGGGCTAGAAGCGATAAGAATCACTGAGTGGGTTTCTTGGTGGATTGTGTGTTGTGCCGTCTCTAGGAAAAGTTGTTGTTCATCCTTTATGGATTCAAAGGAGGTGTTCATCTCTTGTGTGAAGAGAGGTGTTTTCTATTCCTTATCTTTTTCAATTTGTAATATGTTGTAACTTGTGATTATAGTGACAACGTTAATCCTCTTTTAGAGTGATTAACAACTGGACGTAAGGTCTTTTGATCCGAACCAGTATAAATCAATTATGTAATCTTCTCATCCTTATTGTAAACACCAAACAGATAATAAAAAATAATAATAAAAAAAAAATAGCCACCAGCTACCCTATAGCCACCAGCTACCACCAGATAGCCAGCCACCCTAAGCCACCCTCCAGCCACCCTAAGCCACCCTAAAGTCTCCTCTCAGTCATCCTCTAGCCACCCTTAGCTCCAGCTCTGTATATATTGAGAAGGAGATTTCAAAAAAAGGAAGGGAAAAAGAAAAAGAAAAAAAAATAGATCATCATCATCACGCACCCACTATCACTCCACCATCAGAAAACCCTCAGTTTCAGCTACAACAATATCTCATTCAACCACAACAATCAACAGAGGCAACAAAGGCAAACAACGTACATTCAACAGGTTACCAATTGTAATAGTATTTTGTATCTTGTTAATTGTGTGTATATTTTATAACAATTAATAAAATTTATAATAATTAAATAAGAAAAACTTACTTACTACCTCACCGGCGGCCGACCACCATAGTAAACCCACCATACCACCAGCGGCCGCCACCGCACCATCAATGACCATCATAGCCCAACGCGACCCGTAGTTTCCACCTCATCCATCCTTTTTTTCTGGTAGCAAAACCCTTCTCCGTCACCCATTCCCAGATTTAAACTTACACAGCCTCGGCTCCCATCTCCTTCACCAGAACCCTAGCCGCTCATTCTCATCCACCAACCCTAATAGATGCCTTCAGTCGCGATTCACCCATTGCCATTGAACCACACCCACCGCGCCACCCTTGTGGTTGTTTCCTCCGCACCTCACCCTTTATTTCCGACCATCAACACCACTTGAAACCGCAAATCACTTCTCGCCAACCACCACCAGCCACAGTGCAACCAGCTCCACCATGGACTGCCTCCCCTCACCAAAAATTACTGTAACACTCTCATCTCCCTCAGTTGAACCCTAGTCATGCGCGCCTCACCCAGCAGCCCTAGCCCCTCTACGAATCCTGCCTCCTGCGACTCCCATTAGGTTTAGGTTAAGAGACTCAAGCAAAATGGGCAGAGATAGATAACTGGGCTCAAAATGCGCGTGGGCCAAATTGGAAGAAGGTGAAAATAACATAAAATATTTCAAATAGCAATCTGAAATTCATTTTTTGAGTTATTGGGCTTAATATTTTTTTTTTCTTTTCTATTTTAAACTGAACAATATAATAAAATAAATTACCAAAAACAAAAAAATAATAATTATTATTATTATCTTATTATTATTATTATTATTATCTTATTATTACTATTATTATTATTATTACTATTATTATTACTATTAGTATTGTTATTTTTTTCTCTTTATTTAAAATCGACAAATAATTTTTTAATTACAATTAATAAATTTACAAAGTTATTTATTCAAATATAATTACAATTTTGATTTAATTATTTTGAGATTAAAATTTTATGGTTACTTTGAACGGATTTTAATTTGATCATTATAAAATTAATTTAAAATGTTAAATTTTTAGTACAATAAATTTCAAAAGGGTTTAATTATGGTAGTAATTGTTTAAAACACATTTTAAACTAGTTATTACTTAAAATTATATAAAAAAATAATTAATCACTTTGGATGTACTTTCAATTTGATTATCATAAATTTATAATAATCACTTCAAATGTACTTTTGATTTGATTATGATAAATACTAATTTTTAAAATATCTTAAACCCACGAAAAGAGATGATAAATTTAATAATTAAAAATATTTGAATATTAATAATTACTTTGGATGTACTTCCGATTTAATTATTATTCAAATTATAAAAAAAACATAATAATCACTTTAGATGCACTTCTAATTTGTTTATTTCATAATTATCCTAAGTATACTTTTAATTTATCAACACTAATAAATAAATTACTCACAAATACATTTTTTATAAGAGAGAACTACGTTACTTCGATTCTCCATTGCACCTGGGGATACATAGGAGCAGGGAAATGATCTCTATCGAGCTAATAATATAAAAATATATAATCTTTTATTTAGTAGCAATATCTAATCGACATATAAATTTGAGAGATAAAATAGATAATTTTAAGATACTTAAATTTTTACATCTAATTAAAGGTAACTGTTCTTTTAGAACGGATGTTGTAAGGTGCTAATACCTTTCTTACACATAATTGACTCCGAATCCAATCTTTATTTCGTAGACTCTCTTTTTTTAAGGTTTTTTTCGATATTTTTCCTCAAAATAAATATTGGTGGCGGCTCCATTGTTTTTTTTCATTTAGAAACTTAATTTTGTCGTCCAGATCACGAATCTGATTGCGATAGATAGCGACTCCACTGGGGAAGCATTGAGTCAAGCCTATCATAATTAGATGTAAAAAAAAGAGTAAAAATCTTTTATTATTTGTTACATCTCTCTTTCTTTAGTTTTATATGTACGTGTTTATTTTATCATCATTAATTCATTGTAAAATATCTCTACTTCAATAAAATTCTAGGATAGAAGACATGTTTCTATTGTGGACTTCTTGTTTGTTTTGCAAACTAGTTTAGGACTAGCCCTTTCACACACTACACCCATCTGTTCACACTTACTAGTGAGGTCCTATACCCGGGCCTGAGTGTATCCTAGGGAGTGAAAGACAATTAGTGATGTCATTTTGGATGTACTTCCAATCTGGTAATCGTGAAAGTCTTATCAAGAGCGTGACTCTTTCGTAAGTTCCTACACCTTGGATGTACTTCCAATTTGTAGTCACAAACCGAGATGAGTACTAAGCTCTAGAGACCATGTGATTTTAGATGTTTGATTACCTTTGATAAGACTCACTTGCTAGAGAAAATTATTAGACTTGTAAGATACATACTATTACCTCTTAAGACACTATAGGACATCTTTACCCATATCCACTACTCTGTCTTTCTCGTTACTTTACCATGTTATTTTTTTTACATTAAGAACATAATAATTTCTCAACAATTCTTTTCAATATCATATTTGCATGCATCATTTTATACTCATTCATTCTTATTTTGCATTAATAGGTTTATTGGAGAATAGTAAACATTAAAGATTGATTTAGGGTACTTAAAAAAACAAGACATGGGATCAGGTTGTGAGACAAAAGGGACAATTTCTGTGAAAGATAAGATGCATGATGTTCAATTTTTGCAACCTTATAGTAATTTGGTGAAAGGGGTTAAGCGTGTAGCTTTCACAAAAAAATATGGAAATATCTTGGATTTACTAGAGCCCAATGTGCAAGTGGAGGCTATATCAGCATTAACGCAATTTTATGATCATCCCTTGAGGTGCTTTACATTTCGTGACTTCCAATTGGCACCCACGTTGGAAGAATATGAACGAATTTTAGGAATATCGTTGAAAGATAACAAACCTTACAAATATCAGAGGCATCATCCTTCTATGAAGACAATGGCATGTTTGTTAAGAGTTCAAGAGCAAGAGTTGGACAAGAGAAAATTAAATAGAAATGGCATATATGGGTTTCCAAGAAATTATTTAGTGGAAAGGATGAAAATCTTATTCAAAGGGAATGATTGGATTGGTTTTACTGGAGTTTTGTCTCTCACTATCTATGGAATTGTTCTCTTTCCACATTTTGAAGATTACATAGATTTTTCTGCTATAGATGTGTTTTTGGCTCTCCAAAATAGAGGAGAAAATCCAATATCGGTTGTCCTAGCATATACATATTGTGCTCTCAATTTTTGTCATGAAAAGGGTAAAAAGAAGTTAATTTGTTGTTTACCACTACTCTATGTGTGGCTCACTATCCATGTATTCTCTAACAAATGCAACTCATTGTCCCCTATTGCAGATGTCAAATGGGGATGTGTCAAAGATAAAACCAGTAAAGAGTGGGCACAATTCCTAGCAAGTCTCAGTGAAAAGTCCATCCGTTGGTATCCAAGTTGTAGCAAAGTAGATGAAATCATTTACCAGTGTGGAAGTTTTCCTAATGTGCCACTTATGGGGACGAAAGGGTGCATCAATTATAATTCGTCCTTGGTCTTGAGACAATTAGGTTATCCTATGTTGAAACCTCCAACAGAAGAGTCAATTACATCATTTGTGTGTGAGATGAATCAATTGAGTCCAGAAATGCTCAAAAAAGTGAATCATGCTTGGGAAAAGATCAATAGGAAAGGAAAAGAATTGGGAAAAAGGAGTTGTGGTCCTAGTGAGAGTTATCATCTTTGGCTTAAAGAGAGAGTTCAACAAGTCAAATTGTCCTTTCGTAATTCTACTCCAATCATTGAGGAAACTCAAGTGCAAACTCAAGATGAAAATTCTCGAAGGAAAAGATCATTAGAAGAGGCAAATGATAAAGTCAAAGCTGAAGAAAAATGCAAGCTAAAAATCCAAGATTGTTTCGGTGCAGCAAACAGAGAGTTAGGTTTAAGGAAGCAGGAGAGGAATGAAGCATTAGCAGATAAAGAACAACTAAAAGAAGAACTAAAGAATGTTAAGACTGCTGAAAAGAAGATGAGGAAGTTATTTGAAGATCTCCAACAACAAATGAAAGGAGTAGTGGCTGAATATGAAAAACGGTTAGAGATTGAAAAACGACACAGACAACAAGCAGAACATACAACAATAGCTCATGAGAATGAATAGAGAAAGGAAAAGCAAAAGATACAAGAATTGGTCGAATACATTGAAGGAAAGGAAATCTTCATCAAAGAACTCATGGCAGAAATTTCATTCTGGAAAAATGAACTTGCCAAATCTACAAACAAGGATCATATCAAAAAGCTAGAGAATGACATCATGTTTTGAAAAGATAGTTATCTAAAGCTAGCATGGATGACCAACCAAGCAATCATGTAGATCCCAAGAAGTCTTAGGGAAACTAACAAAGTGACAAATCCGCTCTCTACTCCTGTTGAAGTTTGTAATTTTCTTGAATATTGTAAGAAGTTGTTAGAAAGGTTGAAACATATGGTTGTAGTCGATGAAGATGTGAAAATTTTGATACAATGTACTTCTCATTGAATAGTAATGAAATTGTTTTGTCTACTTCTTGATCCTAAATCGTGAATTTTCAATACTCATGATCAATTTTAAATGTTTATGATTCTCTAACAATATCATCACTAAAATAAAAATAATAAACAACCACATTTGAACATTCTCATTTCATGTAATGCTCACATCATTCTTTAAACATTCAACAGAAAAATAATTAATCAAGCAAAAAAAGTACTCCTACGACACCCCTACAGAACACGTGCCAAAACTAAGATCATGGAGGGAGTTGTAGATGACTTAGAACAACAACATGAGGAACTAAAAGGATAAGTTGTGCAAATGAAGGAGCAAATGAATCGTATTTTGGAGATGTTACGATCACTAAAGGGGACTAATGGGAATTCCTCAGAAAGACCTCAAAATACCCCTCCTCATCCTCCTCGATTTACTCCACCAACTCAAGCCAATGCCAACATTCCATTTCCTCCATATGGTCTTCCACCCGGCTATACACCACCCCTGGCCACTAATATTCCAAAAGTTAACAATCATGCTTCTGATTCAAACCCTTCCTATGGTCCTACTATTGGCCATACCCCTCCTGCGATCAACAATGGTCTTGCATCGCCCCAAGCACAAACTCAAGATCCTAACCTTATCGCTCACGACACACAAAC